CGTAAGATGCCTAGGTCTAGAGCTATAGAGCTAGGGCTCTAAGCTGTGAAAGGAAGGTCCAAAAGAGTCGTCATATCATACTATGTATGTAGTATGAGCCAGTGGGCGGAAGAGAGCCGTCTGTTCCGTCACAGTGGATTACAGATACAACAGGGCTAAAATAGTTGGAAAAGGTTTTTATACCTCAAATTATCCTTTTTCAAGTTAGAGAATTATGATTACTTATATTAGATAAACATGGAAGTTATAAAACTTTACCTTTTATATACAAATATTTTGAAAACAAAATATATCTTTTATTCTTATTACTATATATATCATATGTCCTACAATCATTAGATTTATTACAATCATTAGATTTATCAATCTTCTCATCTTTGAAAAATGCTTATCGACATGTACTCAATAATCTGAATTCTCTCTCTGATTCTACACCAATTGGAAAGTGTAGCTTTCTTTATTGCTACCAGAAGACTAGAATAAAAGGTCTAATAACTCATAATATTAAAGCTGGATGGAAAGTATCGGATCTATAATCCAAAAACTGTGCTAAACCCCTTATAAGTCGATTATTACTTGAAAACAGTAACCAAAAGGTTTTAGTACCTAACCCAGTCTTTGATGATGATCCCCAGCTTCAATGGAACATAAAGACATCAGCTATTACTTGGAGAACCTCTCAAAAAGCAGTGAACCTTCGATTATATACATCGACTATAACTCAAGAAAAAAAGCCCGATTTGGCAACAAAACGTTTGCTTTTTCGTAAGATTATTAAAGCTTTTGATATCAAGGATTATAATCTTGTAAAATCGGGGAAATGTATAAAGTAATTGGAATATCAATTGGATGCTGTTATACCTAAGAAAAGACGTAAGGTTGTTACTAATCCAAATACCAGGTTTACAAGGATTAGAGCTATTAGAGAGGCACAAATCGTGGCTGAAGACTGTGGAATTAATGCTGAAGATAACGATGGTACAATTGAAAGTGATGGTACAGGCGATTTTATTGAAGTTGAATAGTTGTTGAGTTATATGCTGTGGGAGATGGGGGTCTTTTTTTTTAGGGTGGCCCGAAAGTGGGGTAGTAGACTTACATATCACTCTTCACTCTTCATTCTTCATCCTTTACCATCAATATTCCACAATTAATCCTAAGCGAATAAATAACATGAGATCAAATAAATAGAACTCCATATGCATGTTGATATGAAAATCCACCAGACCTAGCCCCCAGCTCTTGGGCAGTTCTGTTCTATCAAGCTACCCTGAACTAACCTAACCTAACTTAACCAGCCCGTTGCATTGTATTATATTGCATTTCCCTCCCTAGAATCCATTGATGCGTGGATGCGTATCTTATCATGTTCGCATCATATTACGTAGCAAACAAGATTCTTCCCAATCCATCCTTCCCAATCCATTCAACCCATCCCAATCCACCCATCCTAATCCATCCATCCATCCCAAACCATTCAACCCATCCCAATCCTTCCATCCATACTCCACCCATTCTGTTATACCCCCAATCCATCCCAATCCATCCCAATCCATCCTATCATCCCAAACCATTCAACCCATCCCAATCCACCCATCCCAATCCTTCCATCCATACCCCACCCATTCTGTTATACCCCCAATCCATCCTAATACATCCCAATCCATTGTCCTATCCCATAATTCCCCAAATATAAACGCCTCAAATCCCTGTTAAGCTTATGCTCTTAGCAGCAACAGCCCTTGCCTCTTTCTTAGTTTCCTTGGCGGCCTTATCTAGCTTCCTTCTTCGCACGTCTCTCTGCTTTTTGCTCTGCGATGTCTTTACCACTCTCTTTCTTCCAGAACTGCAGCTTTGTCTTCTTTGATTTCTCCACAAGCCCCTCAAGGTTTCGTGCCACATTAGCCTTACTCCTAGCCAGCGCGGCTCTGCGTTCATAGTCTTCTGCCTCTGAAATCTTTCCTTGCATTCTCAACCATAAAAGTTTAGATCTAATTTGAGCCTTGAGAAGTCCCTCATCCAATGGGTTTCCAATGTTTGGCAACGACCGGAGCTGATCTGCAATAATCTTCTCCACACCCGCAAATCGGGAACCAAGTTCATGTGAAATACGAGCACTGCGTTTTGCGGCTTCCAAAGACATACTTTTCGCCGAATCAGCAAGTTGAACGGTGATGGAAGCTGCTCGCTCGAGAGCTAGACGTTTAGATTGATCTATATTGGCCAATGTCGATTGAGACGATTGGCGTACATCTTTGAGGACCTTCTCGGCGGCGGCACGAACATCTTCGAGAGTTTGACCATCGGCTATGATAGTATCCTTTTTGCAAAATGTATAGAATCTTTGTAGAAGATCTTGCATAGTTTGAAGAGAATTGGTTCCAAAATCAACCTGGAAAGTTTCGTTGATGCGTGGCTTCTTGGTAGTCACAACGGAAATGTTAAGAATACCATAAGCTTCCTTTTTGGGAAGTAATAACAGGATTCCACAATCCGAACTGTATGCGCGCTCTGTATCGATTATAGTATTTTCTCTAGTGATGTTGACCGCCACAGCCAATTTGGCGAGCCAGCTAAGCTTCATTGCCGATGGGATACGAATCAATATTTCTCTATCTCCTACAATCTCAGCTGCATAAGAACCACGTTTGTTTGCTGACTTGGAGGCGCTTTGGGCAGCCTGTGCCAGTTTCGCAAAGTCTAATTGAGGCATCGAAAGACTATTTGGTGGTGGTGAATGTTCGGTGCAAGGCGAAACTGACCGCGTAGGGTCAATCGTGGTTTGAGTTGCAGAGAGAATGCTCGCAGATGGCACTGGTACTGTGGTAGTTACTGTAGTCATCTGTACGACTGACATAACCTTGCTGTTGATAGAAATTGACGGCCCGTTGGAGAGTGGATAGGTGAAAATGCTGGTTAAGATGGCGGCCAGAACACTCAAGGCGAGCAGAACAAATGGAAGAAAATTCCTCCAGTCTGTCACATAACGAGCCAATTGCATCCTCACCGACTTCTCTCGATTCGTAGGATTAATGGCAAAGTTGTCAAGCTTCTTATAGATAGTTGGTGGTATTGACGAACTCGGAGGCTCGTGAAGACCGGTCAAGTATGCAAGGTTTCTATTCATCTGTCTAGCATCGATATTCAAGAAAGAGGTGAGATCTATTGGTAGACGATGAATGATATTCCCATTGACATTTACTTCTCGGGACTCCAAGCACATATGAATAGAGTGCCGATCCAAGGACATGCATTGAGCTCTTTTTAGTAGTTGCTTGTGTGAAATAACAATTGATGGTATGGAATGGCGACTCATAAACTTTCTTGCGGTGGTTCGTGTGCGTCGTGCTTGTGCATCATCGCTATCAGAGCAGTAGAATATTGCAACATGTGGTAACTCCCATTCTGGCTCAATGATGAAGTGATCTACCTCTGGGACCGAATGGTAGCTGTAGGAGTCTCCGAGATTCAGCTTGATGACGTCTGGTTTTTCGGGGGAATCTTCGAATTCGAGTGATTGAGCAGACAAACAGTCATCCACCTTAATTTGGTAGCCAGATGAATGCATGAGCTCGACTTCTGGTGTTTTCTCCGAGCCAAATGCAGATACAGGCACAACATTGTAAAGTTGAGAAGAGCTTCGGCTTGAACGCTCGTGACCTTCAATCGAAGCCGTGACAGAGCTTGCAATCTTGTGTATGATATCTTGCTTCGCAGAGTGGCAGCCTACATAGAGGATGCGGAGTGGGTCCTTGGTCGATAAACCTTGCTTTGTCATTGTTTGTCGAATGGTAAGAATTAATTGGCTGGGTGGATTTTGCATGTTCATATCTCGTGCGGAGGCTTCGGTTTGTTCTTCGGTGAACTCTGCTACTGTATGTTTAACTGACACATTCTCGGCCCCAAGGCTACCACATGGCTCTTCAAATTCGATCGACGGAGAGAGTGAGGGGTCGGAATCGTCATGTAAAACAGCAGAATTTCGACCGATGGTAGGATTGTTGAAGGAATTATTGATCGAGTTGTCCAAACCATAAGCAGGAATGGAAGAATCGTGTGTATGCTCATCGCCACTATCATCACTATTTTCAGTATCTGCGAGGCTCGCCATGTCATCTGGACGACCAAATTCAACCGATGCTAAGGACTCGGTAGCATTCTCATCATGACTCTCATCATCTGTATCAATAAATTCATACGTAGATTCCGAGAGGTGACTTTCATCAGATGGGGCCTCGCTGAGTGTCGACATGTTGTGGGAAGATTGAGCTTCGACCCAAGTACTGATTCTCGAATCGACGTTTGGGGTAGGAAATCGAAATTCGTTGGAATGTGTTTCGTGATTTTGAGATGTCAAATCTAAAGGGAGTTCGCTGGATGACTCCATGTCATTAGCCTTTCAAAGAAGTGAATGTGAAATGTGAGGTCGAATGCGCAGCTTTCAAGAACACGGGTAAACATCAAAGTTAAACAAGAAGAGAAAGGAAGAATGAATGAAAGGGGGGATCCCTACGTTTTATATTCTTCTTGATGATGAAGAGTTTCCCGAATTGAATTTCTATGGAGAAAGGTAGACCGAGTGCCGTATAATGAATGAGAGAAGTGGGAAGAGTGGGAGTAGTATTTAATTAGTTTCTACCCTAAAAGGTAGTAAGAGTAACGAGTAACTACTACCTAGGTACGAATCAAGGCAAGTCCGGCGGTTCTTGATAGGATTAAAGCGTATGGAGGACCAGAGATAGAAAAGTCAAATATGTTTTTTGCTTCGGATTTCGTGAGTATTGTTGATATTGAATAATAAATGTATATTGTGAGATCTTGAGGTTCTTCTGTTCAACCTCGTACTAAATATGTAAGAAGATGATGAAGGAGTCGAAGCTGTAAAGTAAAAGGTTCTTTCGTTGTAGTGGTTTTGATTGATTAGGTGAGGCCTTACTAGCGTCCATGCGGGGTTGTGGTAGGTGCCCAAGTGCAGCTGGTTATCGCATTTGATCCCAACCATCTATAAGATACGGCAGATTACGGTAATAATAACTTCATCAATGATATAATTGTTTCATAGAGTACTGTACTATTACAGATTTTAATATGACAATATTCTCTAATTAATAATCTAGTCATTATTCTTCCTACTTCATTCAATATTACTAATAATTTACATCTTTGCAGATCTTTCGGAATATATTAGAGATCATTGAGTCATCTGATCCGTGTATCGTGGAGCTATCATTCATCATTCATCATTTCATCATCCTTTTGATACCAGTATATAGGCTTATGGCATAAAAGCTTAATCAAAGAACCCACTTTCATTATCTAAATCTGATGAATCAACCTCAGTAAGTCCCTCTCCAAAAACCTTGTTTTTGATACCTAGTTTGATAGTCTCAACCATATAGACTTTAAATAGACTATTGATCTGCTGGTATTACATCCACCTATATATAATCAACCCATCGACCGGCTCTTCTTTCTCCTCATCATAAGCTTCTCTCCTCTTGCTCTACTCGAGTACTACAAATATTTCTCAGACTGTTATCTCAAAGAACGTTCTATATACCTAACCCCACTATCATGCATCAGCCAGCCCCATAAATATCTTCTCAGTGGGACCTGGGTGGCCTTATTGATTTTCGTTACACTCACTAATCCAACGGTACCCCACCATCAGTCCCACAAATGAATGACCTCTTCCTGTAACGGTAACATTTCTATCTCGATGCTAGGTATTTTCACATCACTCTGCAACAAAAGCTCCGATGGTACCTTATTACCTTAGTTTATATTCCGCCCCGCCAACACTCATGCAGGAGAACGAACGCCTTCCTACCTAGTATTTAAACTTTCCAACATAATAACCGCAGTGACTCCACCTTCGCACATCCTCTTGGCGGCTAAAATTACCGGTAATACTCAAAAGCAACATTCAAGGGCCCATCGTGACACGCATTAAGGTAATGCGCACTGATCCTCTCATGCATACTAGGTAACTATGTATTTATATACTTTATATACCCTGTCGCCCTTGTTTCCATCGATCACGACTTCACTAACCACGTTTTTACATGCAGATATTTATATACAACCCATTCCCTCCTCTATGGTCATTTTTTACCGGATATTTGCTTGTACAGTACAAGGAAATCAGTTATTTTTGACAAGTGTCCTTTGAAAAGCATATATTGAAATTTGAAATCACCGTTTTAACCTAATATAAAATGGTCAATACATTGTTTAGTACAATAATTCCTTACATACAAGGAAATGGCCAGTATGAGGTAATCATAGGGATCGCTCTACTCCACATCCCATCATTTTCTCCACCATCAACTTCCTTCCACTGCTCTCCCGCTCCTATTTCCAATCAATCCAAATCAATCTTCACAACACCACCCAACCATAATCCCCCCTCCACAGAAACCCTAACCCTAACCCTAAAAAAACTACCCCTTCTCCCCCAATTTCCTCTCCTCTCCAACAAATCAAAAAATCAAATCCCAAAGCATTCCAAGCACCCAAGCTCCCTAGCCGATTCGAACAACTAACCTGACGATAATAGCTCTATAATTGTATAGTTACATGTTGTTATTACACACCTAATAGCTAACTGCAATTGTCCGCTCTACTATTGAGCTAAGGAGGCGATTATCGTTATTGACTTATTGTCGCTACGGTGCGATTCTGGTTTTATATGTTGATACCTTTCTTTGTCTTATACTCTAGTCGAGTAGTTGCTTTATACTTGATTCTAATTTCTGACAATACTAAGATATATTTACTTAGATTCTCTATACCAAGAGTATGTTCCCAAAACCGAATATATAATGAAAATCGGAGGAACCTGTTACTATATTGTATCACCTGCTCGGCAAAAAACGTTTGGAGTTCTGAATACTCGAGTTTACTGATTCGAATGATATGATGGAAGAATCGCGAGAGTACCTAGGTGTATATGATTATACTCGAGTAAATCAGTCGCACATCTTTCTTAGCACCTACCTATAAGAAGAAAAGAACATAAGTAGCAATAACATTCATCATCATCATCATCATCATCATCATCATCAATGGAGTCTCTCTTATCTTTTCCCCTTTTTCTCTTTTTTCTCCTTTTCTCCATCTATAATACTCCTACTCAAATACCAGACTCCGGTAGCAATTCTTGTGGTATTAGTATTAATAAAATCAGTAGTAACTAGTTTGCTAACACTAATACCTGCTTTCTTTCTTTCGTATATAGTATATATCACCGTATTTAAAAGTTAATCTAGTAATATAATTAACAGAAATATCTTTTCTTATTACAACTTCTTTCCACAGTAGCCTCCTTAAAGAAAGTTAGGACCTCTGAAGAAAAGAAGGTGCTGAGGTGATTCATTCATTCTTTCTTTCTTTCCACACTGGCATTCGCAGCTTTTCACTTTCTGTTAATTAGACGCATGTAGTCTGTAGAGATCATGATAACGATAACTCTTCAGATATCCATGCGGCCCATGCTAAACCAAGTTTGGGTTAATAGTAGGAAGGCGCTAACATAGCATAGCACGACAGTTCTTTCTTTTAACACCTTCAGGAATCCGGATTTGGGAATTCGTAATCTTTCCATACCAGTGAGAAAGAAGGATTTCGAGTAGATAGGTAGTTGGGCACTGTGTGCTTGAATCAGCAATCGGATTTGGGAAACATTATCTTTCCATGCCAGTGAGAAAGAAGTATTTCGAGTAGGTACTGGTACTGTAGTTGGGCATTGTTTGCTTCTTTGCTTGTGCTTATGGTTCTATAATATCTCTCGAGTCTCGCCAATTTTCAGATCTATCCTGTCTGCTTGCTCAGCATACCTAGTACGAGTAAAGCAAAGCTGGTCTCATTTCGATTGGGCGCGTTTCTTGGGGGTAACTTCCTTCGTAAATCGCTAGGGAGTCTGCTAATATCTCATTTCCGCTCACAGAAGTATGTATGTATGTATGTCCTAGTACACAATTTAGGAAGGGATATCTCAGCTTCTTTGTTCTTCAGACTTCAGTATCTCCGTAGCTTTAACGGCGGCTATAATTTGACAGTTGTTTTGGCCTGGATTATCCGATGGAGTACTATCTAGTACTTGTGAGCTAGCTAGTGTATGCCTGCCGCAACTTGCAAGGAACAGAAAAAATAGGGGTATTTTAGAATAAGAATTTAGTATTGAACTGAACCCGTTCAGATTCAAACCACCTACCTACCTGCCTTTATAACATTCTATAAGGTTTATATTGAGATAAAGCTCTTGTTTTTATTTTACTATGAGTTTTATCCAAGTCAACCTAACCTTAATCCAAGGATTATTTGCTCTAATAGTAAAGTAAAGCACTTGTTATTTATGTAATCAAATTATTTTTCCAAATTTTCATGGTAGCTTCTACGAGTATATACCCCTCCCTAGTACATAGCAGACTCTACAATAAATAAACGATCCCAGATTTGTTAGACATCCCTCAGGAACATTATCCTAAACTTAAAAAATATTGCAATTTCACTTCATTAAAAGTAATTCTGGATGGGAAAATTCGATAAGTAGTTATAAATAAGTCAAAAAAGAGTTAATATCATTAAGGTTATCCAAATGAGAGTTTCTTGCTACTCACTTACTTGTATACTGATTGATCATCATTAGATCTTTCTGAAAGTCAGATGTCTGTGAATTCATGCTCCATATCCGTGATCGAGCCGCGATATGTGCTTTGATTGATTGGTTGGTTGGTTGATTGATTGATTGTCTAAGACTATATAGGATAGCTAAAGCTTGTAGCATTAGCAAGTCTACTGTATATTTTGTATTTACAAAAGGTTCTCTGGTAGTAATCACTAGAGGTGCGATAATGAATGTTAGGGAGCTCTGCCTACCTCTACATACTCGTATATAAAAACATGTAAAGGTAATCAAGTAGAAATGCCAATTAAAGTACTGCTGTGCTTATGATTCTCCAAAACCAATCTTTTTAAACAACTCAAATCCAACCACCTGTCCGCATACACCATCTGTCCTGTTCGAAATAACAACACGAGGGTCGTAAGATATTAAACCAGCTCCGCGGAATCCAGACCTGATGTTTTTTTTTCCATCATAGTCTCCAAGTACGCAGCGTGGAAGCCGATAAAGAACTCAACCTTGGTAATGTAATGTGGTTGATGTGTGACTTGATAAAACACGTCCGAGTTCATGACTGTACGAAGGCTTCAGAACACCCAAACACCCAACATCAAGTGGTTGAGAGGAATGAGAGGAATGAGCAGGCAAACATAGAGTTATGTATAATGTTGTGGTTCTTGCAATCATCCTGAAATGCAGCCGATTCGTGACTTTCATGCCCGTCAAGTATCAACATCCGATATGACCCTTTTGTTCGAGCAAACAGTATGCTTATCGAAGTGTTTTAGCTATCCTAGGCCTGTTTCATTGTCTGTTCATCCATTAAAGGTAGTCTTAATAGCCCAGTTGTCGGGGAGCTCGCTCTCGGTATACCAGTTGGAGAGGTGATATGCCCCTTGAATCACTAGAAATGGAGGAGTGTGGGTGCTAACACGGTTATAGAACGGATATCCGGCCGCAGGCTTGAGCGCCAGTTATGAGGGTATTTGCGAATTTGCGTGGTAAGACGATACTTACTTTGACGGTTCTTCAAATACTGACAATACTTAAAGTAACTACGGATATTGTCCTGCAACTACTTGTGGAACCACCAAAGAACCAGAGTCTATTCCGACTATTTCTCCATTTCTACCTGAAGCGTGCACAGGAGGTTCAGGCTCAGGAAATTTGGGTGGACTGTGTGGCTTTGCCTGTGGATATGGTTTCTGCCCAATCATAGCTTGCTCTTGTGACTCTAAAGGTGCGCTGGGTACTTTGCCTGCCTATACCGGCGACGATTCCGGGGTTCCCGTGGCTGGTCTGGATGAAGCAGTTTATAGCGATCTATGCAAATTCGTGTACCAGTATGGCTACGACCCGCCTCCTACAGATGTATGCATCACTTCCACGTCTTCTTCTGGCGGTAGCACAACGGCCTGTGTTGGCGGTACAGGTCCAGATAATGTCATCGGCTTGTGTGATTTCAGCTGGTAAGTGACTATTCTCTCCCTGTTTTCATTGCTAGTTTGGACCATGAGCATTTTCTTTTGAATATATAGCCTTTGGACTCAGTCTTTCTGTGGGGGAATAAATACTAATCTTTGCAGTGCACTTGACTTCTGTCCTCCTCCATGTACCTGTCTTGCTTGGGATACTCAAGCGCCTTTGCCTTCCACTGTCTCAGGAACAGGCTACCATATAGCTGGCGAGGACGATTCTTATGACGTGCTATGCGACTTTGCATGTACACATAACTATTGCCCTCCAACGGCTTGTTCACTTAGCCCCCCTGCAGGTGACGGAGGTGTCATCTATCTGCCGCCATCTGTCTGGGACCCTTCCTCTGACCCATTTGGCTGCAACGGGAACAGTATATGCACATTGATCATTCCACCTTCCTCTCTCCCAGTCCCCGAAACAATCAATTGGCCAGCACTCACAACCACGCTGCTGGCATCTTCTGCTGGGTCAGTTTATACCAAGACAACGGTGCTCAGCGTTAAACCGTTCACCATTACGGAAATCAATTTCTGGTCAGTCACAATCACATCTGGTGATGCAAACTATGCTGCTTTCATTCCGAAACAAAGTGTGAAGCCTCCTGCGTTCATCTTGAACCTGCCTGGGAGTGAATTGACGTTTCCGCCATCGGCATATCCCTCATACTCGAATTCTCAGCCCTTACCCACAACCACATCAGCAACACCAATTCCCACTTTCTTTTCTACTTCTCACGGTGTCACTATTCAACCCATGCCTACCATCAGTATTTTAACCCCCACACCCAGGGGTACGACAACAACAAAATCAGTCTTGACGTATTCGAGCTCATCGTCTGCCTCACAATCTACCTGTACCACTGGTTGTGGAAGCAGCGAGTGTTGGCTTTTCGGCTGCGGTGGAGGTTGTGGACTCTTTGCCTGTGGTGGCGGCTGTGGTATATTTGGCTGTGGAGGTGGTTGCGGACTTCTTGGATGCGGCGGAACGGAAGTAACGCAAGAGATATTTCTGACTGCCCTCAATGTAGCCCTCCGACACTATGAAGCTTATGGGGGCTCTGATGAGGCAGGAATAGCGATCATCAATCTCTCTCTGAGTTTCAGGGAGTCACAGGTCACGGCTGGTTGGATCATAGAGTGCCGCAAGATGTTGCAGAGGTTTGTGGCGTTGGGCACGCTGCCTGTTGTGTCCTCTGGTAATGACGGATTGAACTCGGTCAAGAAATATCCCGCCATGTTCGCTGCTAGCGACATCCCTGAGATTCTCGTTGTAGGGGCGGTAGATGGATTCGGAAAAAGGGTAAGATGCCCATTTACGTCTTATGCCAGGCTTTTGAACACTAGCACTAACAATGGATTTCAGAATGAGTATTCTAACATGGACACCTTTGTAGCCGTACATGCTGGGGGCGAAAATATTTGCTCAAACGGACTAGGTGGCTATGAATTTCAGTCAGGCACATCTTTCGGTAAGTTCAAATGTTTCTACGAAGGTGAAGTTTTAGCAATTCAAGCTAATGACATCCAGCAACTCCCTTGGTATCAGGCCTTGCAGCCTACTTTTTAGGTCTATCTTCTCTCAGGAAGAAATTTCTAGCTGAGTCAACGCCAGCGTTACAAGTAGCAGCAGTAAGTAGCTTTTCCTCTTTCGTACTCCTGTAAATCTCATGTCTTCTCAGCGAAGGATCGAGTCCAGCTCCTACAATGCGAATCATTCCATCGTATTGCTTCATGCACATCAGATGTCAACTAACAATCCACTGCAGCTGAAAGCTTACATTGAAGATTTGGCATGGCCGAGAGATTCATCTGAGCCTGACATCAGAACAGTCTACAACAATGTTCCATGGTCAGAAGACGATCCAACCTGTCCCACCAATGCAAAACGTCAGGACGGCACCGACACATGTGCAGCCCCAACAACTAGCACATCAGCGACATCTAGCACCACCACCGCCTCATCCCCCGCAGCCCCAACAACCAGCACTTTCAACGTTTACGAATGGGAGTGTAGCGGAAAGCAGCAAATCACCAAACTGGGCGCCGCCGCAGCATCCGCACTCACGTACTGCGCGAGTCAAAGCTCATTTTTCAGTAATGAAGGTGGAGTTATTACTTCAGGCGATACTTTTACTGTTTGCGGTTCCGAGTATACGGCGGTTGGTAATACGGGTACAGGTTTTGTTATCAGTGGAGATGGGCAAACGGGGACGTGCTCGATCTTTCGCCTTCCGAATGCGAATGGACAGAGTTGTTTGGGACAATCGGGGGATATTAGTTCACTAGCTTGTCAGGTTACGGTGGCATATAAGTGTGATATTGCCGCGTGTTGAGTATCACTGTTTGGGTAACTTGTAGGGTGGCTGAATGTAGATAGCATAACGCTTTTGTAACTATAGGACTACTATCTACAAGACAAGAATGAAGCACCTAAATTGATCTAACTTTTCGTTCTACACTCTATTGATTCTCTTGTACTCGAGTATATAATGCAAACAACAAAAACCACTTGATTAGTCAATGAATACCTATCATACTATCTAAACGATGAATATAAATGTTTAGAAGAATCGAGAAGGATATTATAGTGGAGAGAATTATATAAATTTTCTATATATACTCGAGTACTGTTGAAGAGAATAGATAGAGAAGTAAAGTATATGATTAATACTCGATAGTAAAGTTATATATGAATAGTAATAGTAACAATAGAAACTAAGATTACACTATTAGTCACTAATCACTAATCAAGAATCACTAATTCTTAACACTAACTATACATACATATCCTATCTCTACGCATTTTCTAATATATAATCCTTAAAATAACAAATAAAAGACAATAATCGCCGCAATTTTTTCAAATCTCCTTCTCTCATCATCTCACTCAGTATATTATCTCATTGTGAAGAAACAGGGAGGAGCGGGCGACCGCGCAGACGGCTGTACCAGTATAAAAAGGGTATACTGCCGGGCGCAAAATGAGGGGGCTGGATCTCCACTGGAGAGCACTAGGCATTCTATCGGGCTATAGAGTATAAGACAACGATATTTCCCTCATATTTAGTTCGACAATTCAATCAATCTTATTTGACTTTACTACTACTACTACTACCTTTTACCTCTTCTATGCTCTAGGATTTCATCACACTCATCAACTCATCATATAATTCCTTTCCCCAATTTCAAACTTCTGCCACTGGCATTTATGCTATCATCGCTTAAGTCCACTACCCTCCTTTTGGAGACCCGGGCCGGACCACACTTTTATACCAAAAACAATGATTTTTTGATATCTATATCTTTTTATTCAATTAACAATTAATACAATTAAATGAAATCTTAATCATAGATTCTTTATATGATTCTCAAACTAACTAGATAAAGATTGCCAGAATCTTCACAATTTTCTATATATATAAATAAATTATTAAAGTTTGTGACGGAACAGACGGCTTTCTTCCATCCACTAGCTTATACACCTTATATAGTATAATAAGACGGTTCATTTAGATCTTCCTTTTTTAGTTTAGAGCTCTAGCTTTATAGTTCTAGATCTAGATATCGTATAATGTTTATCTCTAGTTCTCCTTTCACTCCTTTGGGCCTAGCCATTAGGGTTCCCAAATCCTGTATATATAGTCCTCCTTTTAGCACCCTATATAGGTCTTCACTTGTAGATTCTAAGTATACAATTGGAGTCCTGTTTATACCCTTTTGGTTATAAAGTCTAAAATATAAAATCTTCATTTTATATTATACAAATCATACTAGTACTAACGTGGTTTATCAGTGCGTCGCGCACTTTTTCACTACTTAATCATTTCAAAATATTATTCAATAATCACAACATATAAAATTAATTAAAACTATTCAGAATCTGATAAACTAGAGTCTTCTAAATCCTCCTAACAAGTTTGTATATTATAACCAATTTTATCACAAAAACCACAACAATGTAAAATTGATTGTTCTCTATTTGAACTATTTTTCTTAAAGCATTCATTATATCGAATCTGATTATCTATATCGGTCTATAATATAATATCATATCCATTTTGTATACTAAATATTTCTTCTTGACAAATTCAACTCTTTTTAGCTTTACAACATTTATTCAATACCTTATTTGCTTTTCGAAAAGTACAAATCTCAATATTCATAAGTATCATCTTATAAGCTAATATCTCTATACCTTTAGCTAAAACTGTAACTGTTTCAAATATAGGTATAAAAGAGCTTCCTTAATGTTGTACAATTCGATTTTTAATTAAGGTTGATTACAAAAGAGCATTGTTCGAGTTATAAGATATTTGAGAAACCCAAAGATCAAGCTCTACAGAGGAGGATCTGCTAGGTGTAGGTGTTCGTAATTTGATATCTAGCTTAGAAATCACAGTTTGAGGATCAAAGGGTATTAATCCAGCTCCGCGGAATCCAGCTAATCCATTTTGAACAGTTATTGATTGTAGATATGCTGCTTTGAAGGCTATAAAGAATTCGACCTTGGTGATATAATTGATATAAACCTTAATATACCCCTCAATTTGTTGATTATATATTCGTTTTAAAACACTAAAACATCCGACATCGAATGGTTGAGTAATATACAAAGAATAAGGAGATAATGAAAGAGTTATAATATTGTGTTCTTTACAATATTCTTGAAATATAATCGATTCGTGACTTTCGTGTCTATCTAATATTAGCATTCAATAGTTACCTTGTTTTCGAGCAATAGTATACTTATCGAAGTATTTAATCTATTCTAAACTTGTCTTATTGTTCATTTATTCATTATTAATGACTTTAATCATCCAATCAAATAGAAGATCACTTTCAGTATACCAACTCGAAAGATGATTTTTGTCTTTAATTACTAAAAATGAAGGAATACTTTCTTTTATATTATTGATATATATAATCGCTGTAGTCTATTCTCGATTACCTGATTGTATTGCTTTGTTTCTGCTATATCGTTCAGTATTAGTTATAATTATCCCAGGGCATATAATATCTATTATAAAGCCTGTTTCATCGAAATTGTAGAAATCGCAATCGAGAATACCATATTTCGCCTGCATATTCGATACTAATCGAAACCATTCTTCAATAAACTTTGAATCTTTGCAAAAAGCTCTTTGGAAATTATAAATACAATTAAAACATATCTTTAATTCTAGCTAGCATTATACAAATCGATATATCCAAAGCTTTCTAATGTAATGTACTTCACAAGTATCGAGAATATCATTCGCTATATCTTCTACACTACTTAATCGAGGGACAAATCCTTGTATATCCATATCGAGGATATATTGAAGAATCACTTCTTCTTCTAATTTAGTTAATTTTTGAGTTAATGATCGATATTCCTGTAACAAGGTTAAACTATTCATTCGATTCCGAAATGTTGTTTCAGAGACATTATAGAGTTTAGCAACACTCCGGCGACTCATTTTTTTTCGATTTATTAATAGCTTTAATAGCTAAGATAATCCGAGCTTCTTTTGAAATATTATTCATTGTTGATTGTTAATTAAACGCATATTGAATTGAAGAGTTGCAAAATAGTGAAGAAGTGCGCGAGGCACTGATATGCGCGACGCACTGATAAACCACGTTATATAAAAATCAAAATATTCCAAAGAAAAATCTTAGTAAATTTTTAATAAAGTAGTTAAAATTGCAATGCTAGTATTCTATATATGAGATAATAACTACTCGAGTATATAAAGAATATTAGTATTCAATTTTATATAATAATATTCAAGTTCAATATTGATAGAAATTGTAAATACTCAAAAATCACTATTTTTGATATAAAAGAGTGGTCTGAAAGGGGGACTCGGATTGTAGATTTATATAGTATATATAATAACAAGTAGAAACTGTGCTCGTAGTCTGAGCCTAATTGTGTCTAGTATTTAGCCAAGTTAGTTTGATATAGATTTATGAAACTCATCTAATCCATATTTCTTTATATCAATTAGAGAGTCAGCCAGCTAGCCAGCTAGTTAGTCAGTCAGTAAGAGAAATCAGGAATTATAGCTCATCAACGATTATGATTGATACTGTCTGTTGGAAAATGGAAAATGGAAAACGGAAAATGGAAAATCCAATAATAGAAAGAGTTTATGACTTTGCATGTTTTCGTTAATGCAGTTATTCATTCATCTCCCATCTCCCATCTCCTATACCACTCATCCTCCATACATGCCAATCATCACCATCACCAAAACCAAAATCAAAAATCAACCCCCCCAACTCGACTCCCCTCGCCCTGCCTCGCCTAACCCTTCCTATCCCTATCCCCATCCCTATCCCTATCACTATCCCACCCCCTACTCACTCCACATAATATCTCTCAACCTATCCTTATCCCCCTCACTCCCAAAAATCGAATCAATTCCACTCCTTGCCAACCTACAAATCTCCTTTTTGTCCAGATTGAAGTGTTTCGCTACAAGTGCATATTCTTTTGAAAGTTTGCTACCGAAAACCCCCACATCATCCGTCTACTATTGTTAGCGACTATCTTTTCTCATCTCAATCTCAATGTGAATTTGTCCCTCGACAGTTGAGGGAAGTTGAGGCTTAACCTCCCGTGCATCAAGATCTGAGTGATGAGTGATAAAATGGATTTAATACATACACATAAAATAACCGAACAGCCTCTTCCCCACCACTCCCCAAAATGATGATCGCCATACGTCCCCGTAATCATCTTCGCATGCACATTACAACTCAAGCAAAGTTCCAACCCCAAACCCATCTCCTGGATCGCGGGTTTAAGATCCTCTGGTACATTGATGACGTGACCGATGCGATCAGGTTTGTACGAGAGAAGTGTGACGAGTTCCGTACTGCTGGGTGCTAGAGGTACCTCTGCGAAATGAATGGTGATTTGAAGGTTATGGTTGCGAGCGAGGAGGAAGGCAGGGGCGAATATGGATATGTCTCCTACGGAGGGGTCTCCACAAAGATCGATTCCTACTACGCCGGAGGACTGGTATTTGTGTGCTAGGAAGACAACTTCCATGGCTGTTGGGAGATCATTTCGTCGGTCGATTGAGAGAATTAGGTTTGTTTTCATGGAAGTGTTTGAGGCATTGTGTTTGGTAATGCAATTGAGGATTGTTTGGACATATATCTCTTTAGTGATGCCCGCTGAAGGGATGGCTCGAGGTGTAGTGCGTAATTCGAGATAGACCACACCATCGGCTTGGAAATCTTCAAGAACGGAATTGGTTGTGTAGATCAAGGAGGAAAGCTCGTTGCAGAGAGCATAGATGTATTTGGAGAACAATGGAAAGAATCTATAAATATATGATATGAGACATGTTGGGTGGTACAATGCCGAAAAGACTGTTGTGGCCTGTATATGGGGATCCTCCGAATTCGAGATCGCTCATGTATGAGGAATGATTGATTTGTTGATGCCAGGATTCTCGAGGCCAATGTAAATAATGAAATAGATATCACTCACGTTTCTAGATCATAATCAAACTTACCATTTGGCATCTCTACTAATGGATCCGGTAAAGTAGTCTCGCCCCTTTCCTGCTTTTGAAGCCATACTTCATGAAGACATTGTCGACTGATACTTCCACTTAGATGGGCATGTAACTATGTAAGAAGTATTCTTCAGCCTTATGTCAAATGTCAATCATGCAGTCATTTGGGGGTAACAATGCCGGGGGTTTCGACGGGCATTAAATATATGTACAGTATGCATGCAACCTTTTTTGACTTACTTCAATTTTTGGCAAGGATATAAAATCGATTATTTCCGAGCTTGAAGGATCCATTGCGTGAGAGTGACTGTCGGTTTAATTTACCTTGGTATAGGTAGTCAATTTATTGTTTAGCTTTTCGATATTGCTGTTTTCTTCCTTGGATCTATAAAATTGATTGCTGCAAACAACTTTTTGGTACAGCGACAGTTGAGTTGGTGTCCACTTGTCAAATCACACCCTGATGACCAATCTTACCCGCTGACGAATCAAGATGAACAAACTTAACTTCGGGAGATCTTCCTATCTGAGAAGAAACAGCAGATATAGGTAAAAGAAAATTATGGGGATTCTTCTACCAATAGGAAATAATGGAAAACGGTTCATCCGTTCTTTTGTGAGTGATATAATTGACAACGAAGAGCGGCGAGGGCATCTTGCTTGCTTTGGCTGAGCTTGATGGCGCTTGATTACGGGGCTCAAATCGTTGTGGTCCCTGTGCGGTAGATGAAGGGGGGAACAGGGTCTGGTCCTGGTCCTGGATAGGCTCAATTGCGCGATATGGTACATTGCCGTAGACGGATGGATGGATGGATGGATGGATGGGCTGGATGAATCATGAATGGATACTTGTCGATGGAAACATAGATTACCGAAAAGTCTTCCTATTTACGCCAATCAAAAAGTATTTGATAAAATAGGAAAGGCGCTTGACAAAAGTGTATTATAGATAATAAATTTGACTATTGTTGTATTTGTAATAATCAGGGGATTATACGGAATACTCGTAGAGTCCGCCATCAAAACCCCCGTCGATCCCAATACCCGACCTTTTGATTCCCGTTCAAATTTTAAGAAACGAGAATATACGCAATCGAGGTTAAGTTTGCGGACCTACTTAGAGACCGAGTAGATATCATTCTGTATTGATTGTTATTTGTGCCCTGCTGACTGCTAATCACTTGCGAGTATAAGATAATAGTACTACTATAAAGGTAAGTGACATAGTATAATAATCTATTATATCTAAGTTCCTCCTCCTTATTCTTCTTCTTCGTCTCCCCTCCTTCTCTATTCAAGTTACTATAATACAGAGAACATTTAGAATATCTAGATCTTTCAACTATTAATTTATATGCCGCTGTAAGTAGATATATCGATAGTGAAGCAGGTATATTTATTCAAATAGATATACTATAATGAGCTAATTGATTAGTTAGCGAAACTTAGCTATATTTGATTACTTACTCCGGAGCTTATAATTTATATATTCTTCTATTGATTATATTAATTAGAGTAAATTAATAGCTTATAAATCTCTAATATCCTTTTTATATTATCTAATAGTAGAAAATCTTATATATAAATCTAGTATTATAACTTCTATTTTCTGATTATTCGTAAATTATTAACTACTAGTATATAAACTATTATCTTATCAATACTCGAGTGTATTCACTCTTCTTCTACTTGATAAGATTCATTTAATATACGAAGTTGTATTATTCGTTCCATCCCTCATTCACTCTCACTCATGACTCATCCATCTCCTCTTTCTTAGTTATTAAATTTGATTTCCACTAAACCAATATCTTGCCATCTCCCACCGGCTTCATTCTCCCTCTAAGAGAGCTACTAGCAACATCGAACCAGCCTATCTTAGAATAATTAAGCGATAGAAAAGAAAGCAGCAACGCAAATAAGTGGGTTTGGTTGGGTGTGACTTGCTGCACTAGGTAACCGTACCTTCTAAATCAATCACCCTTCTCAATCCTGTCAAGTAGAATTGCCTCAACTTTCTTCAACCCATCAATTCCGAACAAGGACCCTCTCTCTCATACAAGTCTCGTTCCACAATTTGGAGAAGAGGAAGACGAAGTAGTTGTCCATACATACTTGATATAACTTCATTTTAATCATTCAACAAAGAAGAACACACACACACTTTAATAATACCGGCGATTACCATAACAACAGAGCGACGAATTCCTTAATACCTACCTCCCGCTCTCCCGATAGCTGAATTGCTTACTTTCAGCCAATTTCAATCTCTCATCAACCGACAAAACTCGGGAAGCTATCCTCCGTTTGGTCGCAACCCCCTACAGCCTCGTCAATAATTGAAACAACGACGATAATTATCAAGCTGAGAATCAATTGATCCCGATACCATCAATCCGTCCAAGATATGTCCTCGAACTCGAACTCGAACGATGTATCGCCCGAGGCGATGCAGTCGCGTATTCAACAAGCTCGTCGTGAGGCAGAATCCTTAAAAGATAGGATAAAGCGCAAGAAGGATGATTTGGCAGATGCAACGCGTGAGTAACAATCATCTCTCAGCTTCAACAACAATACATCATTCAATTTCATCACTAGATGTCTATTAATGTAATGTCCATAGTGTATGTGGTTGTATGCTAATTAATTACGTTACAGTGATGAACCTTGCGAGGGCTCAGCAAGAAGCTTTACCCAAGAATCAAATGATGAAGACTAGAAAGACGCTGAAAGGACATCTCGCAAAGATTTATGCAATGCACTGGTCGACCGACAGAAGACATTTGGTATCGGCATCGCAAGATGGAAAATTAATCATTTGGGACGCATACACAACCAATAAGGTCCATGCCATTCCACTTCGATCTTCATGGGTCATGACCTGTGCTTATGCACCAAGTGGTAACTACGTCGCCTGTGGTGGATTGGACAACATCTGTTCGATCTACAACTTAAATTCAAACCGTGATGGACCTACACGCGTCGCTCGTGAACTCTCTGGACATTCCGGTTACCTTTCCTGCTGTCGATTTATCAATGACCGAAGTATCCTCACATCTTCCGGTGACATGACATGTATGAAGTGGGATGTCGAAACAGGATCAAAGGTCACCGAGTTCGCAGATCATTTGGGTGATGTTATGAGCATCAGTATCAACCCAACCAATCAAAATACATTTGTTTCTGGTGCTTGCGATGCCTTTGCGAAACTTTGGGATGTTCGTGCTGGCAAGGCTGTTCAAACTTTTGCTGGGCATGAATCAGACATCAATGCTATCCAATTCTTCCCAGACGGACACTCCTTCGTCACTGGTTCCGATGATGCTACCTGCCGTCTATTCGATATTCGCGCTGATAGAGAACTCAATCAATATGGAGTAAGTTTTCACATTTAAATCCCCATCCTCCAAAATTGGTCACTGACAACTTCTAGCATGAGTCCATTCTATGTGGTATCACCTCTGTTGCCTGTTCCGTATCTGGTAGACTCTTGTTTGCTGGTTATGATGATTTTGAGTGCAAGGTAAGCCATCATCATCTCGCAGTCAAAGAGGCCTATCATGCTAACCTTTCTTTTAGGTATGGGATATCACTCGCGCTGAGAAAGTCGGATCACTGGTTGGCCACGACAATCGTGTCAGTTGTTTGGGTGTTAGTAATGATGGGATGAGTTTGTGCACTGGATCATGGGATTCATTGGTAAGTCACAACAGCTTTATGTTTTTTATTTTCTCATTATCTCGAACTAACTTTTCATTCCTTCCTTCAGCTCAAACTCTGGTCCACATAACTTACTCTATTTTACTCCCACTTCAGCTCAAGGTTTGGGCCATGTAGATCTGGTCTTTTATTTCGACGATAACGAATTCTCGTCGCATGCGCTGCCATCTCCGTCTGGCAGCTCCGTTTTTACTTAATCACCCTCCCAATACGACTTCTTAATACACCTGGCTCTCGACATAGATTAGTCGAAGTCTCCACAACAGTCTCCCTCATACTTAAGCGACCGAGGTGGTCTTTCCCGATCAATTACTTTCGCAGTAAAATAAGGAGCCCAACTAGTTGCGCAACTCAGATTCTGTGCACAATAATTTTTTCATTTCGATCGTTCTTGTTTCTATGGGAGGTCATATTGCATTGCTTTTCATCAGCGTTCTTAAGCACTGGGACCTTGCGACGATATCCTGCAGAGACCCCTGTTTTCAACTTTACCACACACACACACATGACCTCTTGCAATGTTCTTACTCTGTGTCTTTTCTTTTTTTTCCGCGTTATCAAAATCTTCGAGGGGCAGTTATATGGTTGGGCGAAGGGGGGAATAAGAATAAGGGGTTGGGATAATCAGCTGCGAAGTCGACAGAGAATTTGTTTCTCACATTGTGTGCGGTATTCGATAAACCGGGTCGATATTTCGATAGTGAACCTCCAGATCAGACATTTGATATATGTAATGTTACGAAGATGATCAAGATGGAGGAGAAGAGCGGAGTTCCTGGGAAAAGACTCATAACCGGGGCTCTGTAATGCATCGACAGGCATCACTGCAGCAAACTTTTAAGAAGTTAAATCTGGCGTCGGTTTCATCATGAAGCTTTGTATTATAGTTTAATAATGCCCTTGATAGATATGTCTTTTTTATTTTTTTATCTTTTTTATCATTTTTCCCCCCCAGGTGAATGGTGATGAAGTTTTTGGTGTCGTGGGTGCATTGGAGTCAGGAAGCGAATGGTTGATTGGTTGAATTGATATTGATATTGCAAGTCATTTTTTTTATTCGAGTTTGAGTTTGAGTTTAAGTCTCAAAAAGTTTTATTTATTTATTAGAATAAAATATCTAAGTTAACACATGTGGATGGAATATGAGGATGAATAAGTAGGGGAAAGAGAAAGAGAAA